GGCTCTTAAGTGTCTTGGGAGGATGCGCTTTATGACAGTGACAATTGGAGCTAATTAAGCGGGATTATGCAGGAAGCAATTGGGAAAAGTCTCTGGACAGCGCACTTGAGTCTGGAAAATAAATGAAATTCGTGAGTTGTTTGCTGAGCATAAATTTCAGCATTAACATGCTCATTGCGCGTCGGACGAGGACATGGACTGAGTCCCTCCGTACTCGGATGCGAGCAGGAATGAGGGAACGACTCGTTTTCGCAATTTACGAGGCGTCGATTGTAATAAATTAGCCAAAACTTGTTACGCAAACGGAAAATGCCAATAAAAATGTGCTGGAAAAACAGAGGCTAATAAATTCTAGACCTCCCTCATCTGGCTAGTCTCAACTGGCGAGTTTAAAGCATAGCAAGGCGTAGGGATCCAGCTACCAGAAACCAAGCACCCAACTGGTTCGCCAGAAACCGAAATACCAATCAGTTTAATTAAAGAAAAAATATCCATTGAATTTTATTAGCAGCTTGGCGGATGCCGGGGGGATGCAATCACTTAACCAAGTTTTTGGGACACACATTGCATTAGTTTTATTTGCACAGCGCTCAAAAACGCATTGCACTTCAGAAGCAAATCAATTGAATTGGCGCAATGTTGCCAGCCAACTTTGACTGCAGCAGCAGCAGAAGCAGTAGGATAAAAGGTGCAGCAGAAGCAGCATAAGGATCTCATTGTTGCACAAAACTTTAAAAAACTTTCGAGTGCCCATCCAACTTTACTTCTCTCTTCTCTCTGCCTCTCTCATACCATTCAGTTGACTTTGAGTGGCTTTTGGTGTCTTTAATCTACATCCGCCAGTCAGTCTGTGAGTCGCCGTTGGCGTAGACATAATCATTTTGCATATTCAACTTCTGGCTCAGTTAATAGGGGGAAACTTACGAGTACGAGCCACAGTTTACTTTGCCATCAGTTTTGCATTGCAACTGGAATCAGAGTTACTCGCTGCGTTATTTGCATTTGAAATGCAACTCTGCCAGCTCTCGATTTATTTAACATTTAATGATATTTCCGTTGGCCAGCACTTAACTTTTGATAAGCCATAAAAGTTCCCCTTCGTAATCTGTTTGACTTTCGAAAGGTTTTCCCCATACATTGATTTTATATTTTGGCATTAAGATGGCTTTTCGTACTAATCTAATGGCCTTCCGGACTGGACTTAGGTGCAGAATTTTAAATTTGCTTTTAGCATTTTGGAAAATTTCCCATTTAGTTTTAGACCCACATAAGTACATACTCGTATATTAAAAGCCCCACCTCAAGGCTTTCAATGCATTTCAGTTCTGTCAGCTCACTGCGACTGGAGTTTCAATTCCAGAAACTAAATCAATCGTAAAATATTAACTCAAATTGAAATTCCAGCAGAGGATTATAAAGCCTCGCAGCAGCTTTTGTGCGAGCGATGCGAACAATGCATTCAAGCAGCAGTCCAGTTTGACCCAATAAGGAAAGCTACCATGAAGTATTCATTAATTTCTGCTCTGCATATCCGGCAAATCGCTCGTTGAAAGGTTCATATAAATCACACAAATACGCAACGATGGCCATCAGCTTTTTGGGTATTCGTAATTAAATGTCGTAACGCACAACAAAATCACTGCCTGGCACACGGACAAATTGGGGTTTATTCGGTTCGGTATTAAGAGGAGAGTCACTTCAGGAGTGGCTACAACGAGTACGAGAACAATAGGTGAAACTGCAGCTGGCAGCCAGTAAATATTTATGAAATTTTTCCAACAAACAAAATCTAACTAAGGCAAATAAATGCCTGGAGGCATAACCGTATTATAAAGTGCAATCGGAGCCTTTACGCACACACAATGAATAGAACGGGGGAGGCGGTTGTGTGGGATATATACACGTAGAAGGTAGAAAGATAGGATAGGAATGGAGGAAGACACGTGCTGCCCCAGAGGACAATGTGACCGATATGCAAAAGTTCCGACCACAGCAACGACAAAGTTGAACCGAAGGATGTGATGACATTGTCCTTAGACAGTTACCTGTGATATTTTGTGAAATGCCCAAGGAAAACAGAGACCCGGCCCGAGACAGCTCCAATATGCAGTGGCGATTGGGTTGGAAAGGAAAGGAATGGAAAGGACCGGCGCTGGGCCAGAGGGTCCGTTCGAATCATCTGCACATACTCGTATAAACAGGATTATGTGTCTCGGGGGGGTTATGTAAGTAAGCTTCCGTTGTAAATTGATTTTGTAGCAAGCCGGACACACTGGGGGAAAATGAAAAGGATTTTATCCACTTATTGTTGCATGGGGGGGTGATGGGTCCAGCACGGCCACCACCTGAAACTGAAACTACAAGTCTCCGACCGGGCCGATTGGTTTGCGCAAAAGCTGAATATCATACGAGTAGGACTACGAGTAGGAGTACGAGTATATGCTGCTGTTAGATGCCCAGGCGGCCAGCTGAAAATGGAAACTGCTGCGGAAAAGTGCCTCCATTGAAGTAAATACTTATTTGGAAGAATGCGAAAATATTTTTAATTTTGGCATAGCTCTGATTTGATTGTGTCTGGAGCTGGAGTCTGGGGCCAAACCGAGGGCAAACGTTTGCGGATTTCATCCTTTCCCCGTACATTTTCCCTTCTCTTTTTGTTGTGCATTCTGCGGACCTTGGACAATTTTTCGATTTGTTCGTTTGACATCTGTTGGATGGCTGAAGGACGGGTTGTCTTCAGTTCTCCGTATCTCGTTCCTCCTCCATCTGTATCCTTTGGCCAGTGCCTGTGTCTGTGTCGCTGTCTATGCTTTTGATATTGATGTCCTTTGAAGTGTTTTCAATTAGTTTGCATTTCGCTTGTCGCTGCTATTGCCATCCCTGCCATCCTGTGCTTTATTTCTGTGTATTCGAGGACAGCAGGCTGGGGACATATTAATAAAAGAAGGAATACCAAAGGAATGCTCTGCTGGCATGTCCTCTGCCCTACCAGATGACCGTCTGTTCAATTAGCAGTCAACACTGGCTAAGTCGTGTCCTCCGCCCATGTCAGCTTTGCCCCGAATGAGTTTCAAGGGAGCAAGGCAGCAAGGGAGGAAGCTGCAGCTTCAGCTTCAGCAACTACAGCACCTGTCTACATGTGTCCCCAATTGGCGCTCAGTCGGATTAGTTGCTTTCTGCCATCTCGATCTCCCTGGCACCTGCCTGCACCCACCACCACTCTCTATTTTTCGCATACAAAAACTGTGAACAGGTGGCAGGTGGCAGGTGGCAAACATTTACGTAAACTGGCTCTTCTTTTCGTCTTTCAGAGGGCCATAAATATTTGCGCTGGCTAATTCAGTGAGCATCTGTGTCAGGCTGATCTTTGCCATTGTTGCTGCATAAATTTAGTGAGTAGTGAATGGGCTCTGACCCCTCTCTCCAGGATCCGCTCCCCGGCCAACCCTGCCGGCCATCAGCATAATTTACTTGGACTTCCGCTTTGGCTCACTCTCCCGCACTGTACATATTTTATGCCTTTTATCATAATTTATGCGTTGATACTGCAAATGCATAAAATTAAATTCAATTCACACACACACACACATGCCCCCCTTCCCGTCTCCTTTCTATTGCATCCATTGTGTTTGCCGGACACACACATAGTCCTGCTCAATGCATTCAAATTTGATTTAATGTAATGCCCACTCCGGCTACGCCCCCTATTACTGACCCTGGTGTCGGACGCCTGGTCGGCACTGTACCATTTTTAGCTTAGTGCAAATGATGGCACACAATTTACATAAATTGCGTTTAATGTATGTATGCTGGATATGCTGGATATGAATATTCCGGTCAGAGCTCGGCTATGCAAAATGAGCTCGTACGTGGCTGATTGGATAATTGCCGGTAATCAGCAGCAAACAGTTTTCTAACCAATACGAAATTCGAACTGGCACTCCCATGCAATGAATAAAAAGCAGTTAATGTTATTTTTCAAAAGAGATAAATTACATTTATATGGTGTGTTGCGAGAATGGTTTGCTAAATTGTATTACTTTAATAATAATAAACTTTGACGCGGAAAAGGACTCTAAAAACGTTAAACCTGACTTCGAGTACTTCTGTGGAATAATAGTCCCTTGAGAAAAACATATTTAGCAAATCCATTCCTCAACATTCCCCAACAAAAACCGAATTATTTAATTAAGCAGGCAGCAATCTCAATCCCTCCAGTTTGCCTCTAGTTCTATTATCCCCCTCTTTGTGGCCATCATTCCGCTTCTTCCCAATTTTATTGAATTCGTTCGTGCAATAAAAATTTATTTGCAGCTTCCCTTACGCCTCGCCTCGACTCGCCTTGCCAGTCCAAGCTTACCAAGCTCGTTCCACGTGGACTGGACGGACTATAAAAAACTTGCAGAATGAGAGAAAGGAAATCGTGGAATGAGGATGAAAGCTGATGATTTTATCACAGCCAGCAGTTTTTCAGCTTGAGCTGTGGCAATGGGTCTTTTATTCAATTTGCGCGCCTCATTCAAATTGTCCGCACTGGGCAAAGAATGAAAGAAACGGAAAAGTTTTGACCGCCTTTTGAACTTTTTGGCCTGGCAGCCAATGTGTTATTGAGTCGGTAAATCGCCAGACAGTAGCCAGTTGCCAGTAGCCAGTTAAGCCACTACAGCCAGCTGCTTTAATTTTAATTTAGTCGGAGTCAAAAAATGTGCACCCAAAAAAGCTGAGCAAAGCAAAGCACACAACGAGGCGCCACGGGGCGCATAAAGCGCCGCATTAATTTGACAGGCAACGTCTGGATGCAGGCATGTGTGCGAGAGGCGAAAGGGGTGAAAAACACTGTCGCTCTGGGGCACAAAAAAAGAATCTCATGAGTAACTTAACGCGTCGTGTGGCATGTGGTAAGCATGTGATTACCGATTCCCCAAAGACGGCCACAGGCAAGCCGACAAGATGGCTTTGGCTTTGGCTTTGCTGCTGTGCAGGAAGCCAGCGAAATTTGATATCGAAAAGTGTTTATTGATTTTCCTTTCAGTTGACAGCACAAAATTTATATATTTTTTTTGTTATCAGACTCAGACATTTCCGGAATGGCTCTCATCTACTACGATCGCACCATCAACAGTCCCCTCGAACTCATCCTGGCTGGGCTGCGCGAGAGCTCCCAGGCCACCTCTGTGCAGGAGCTGGGTGTCTTTGTGACTGCCAAGACCAGCTTTCCTGCCGAAGTCTGCTACAAGATCATACGAGAGGCCCTCGAGGAGGGCATGGCATGCAAAACCATTGGACGAGTGGGCAAGCTCTACTACGCCCTCCCACCGAAGCCTTGCCGGCTACCAGCGAGCAAGACCAAGCCAAAGCCAAAGCCAGCGGCGTACTGCGATAATTAATTCATAATGCGGAGAGTATCCGCTCAAGTGGGCCAGAAGTGCAGAGCAAACACTTTATTAAAATTAAAATTTATCTAAATTGCGACAGCCAGCTATTCTCTCCGCAAAGTACTTAAACAACTCCGTCGCGCTGTCTGACAATGACGAAAGGGTGGCTGCCACAAAGACTGAGGTGAGCCACTGCATCCCCCTGTTGCACAGGCAGTCAGCCAGCGTCTTGTGTCTGGCCTGCCGTTGCGGAGCGGTGCGTGGAAATTGAAAGCTTCACTTTCTTTGTCTCAGCCAGGTGCAAGACTCCCAGAGATGCACCCATGGGGAAGCCAGGGCGGGATCTTTGCATTTTCAATGTGTCACTTTGATTTATTATTTTCGACAGTCCCCCCCACGGACACCCACTTGCCGTGAGCTTAGGGAGCGCACTCTGCACACCCGGTGGGCGGCAGTCATCGCCAACCACATCCGTGTGCAAGTGCAGGGGAGGACGCAACTCGTGCACAATTTTTCATTTCCTTTGCATTTTTTACACGCCCCTGCCACTTTGCGTTCTTATCTCATTTATTTATTTTACAATTAGACAGAGTGAAGTGCACTTCCAGAGAGAGCCAGAGCGAGAACAGCTGCAGTTGCCCTGGCCGGGGGTTGCAGTGGCACAGCCATGTGCATGATGCTTGTGTACCTTCCTCGGATGGCAGCACGCCAAGACTGCTCGCATCGGTTGGTCTGACCCGGCCTTGTGGCTGCTTTAAATCAAAAGCTTATGCCTGAAAATGCTTAAAATTAACATTAAGGCCTAAGTATGCCATTGGCATAGGCATAGGCTCGGGCTCAGGCTCAGGCGCCCAGATACGAGATACTTTCCAGCCAAGGTTGAGCAGGCAGGAAAGCAATAATCATAAAAGTAGCCCGCACACTCGGTCGCCCAGCCTCTGCCACTGCCTCTCCCCGAACTTCTCTCCCACCTTTGGCTAAAAGTTTTCACATCGACAGAGAATGTTGCGCCGAAACAAATGGCAAATGGCCTGGTAGAAGAAACACTTAAGCACAAGGTAAGTGAAAACTCAAATAAAAAGAGGAAAAAAACACCAAAAAGAAAGCAGGAAAGAATACCAAAGTCAATATTCCGACAATACGATACCCTGATCAGATTTTGTATACTGATTCCAAGGACTTACATCAGGCTGGAGAGCGTAAAACGCTGCGAAATCTTAGGATCATCCTGCTGGGAACACTTTGAAAATGTTGCTTATCGATTTGTTTACTTTTGGGCTTGTGCTTGGTGCCGCTTTCCAAAGAAACAATCTACTCAAAACAATATACCCCGCTACACCACGAGCAGGGGGTATAAAAAGAGGAAAAACTTTTACAATGCGCAAGCGGAGAAAGACGCGACTCAATGCTGTCGTGGCTGCCCCAACTCGCTTGAAGGGCAGCTATTTTTGGCCAGCTGACAGTAGCGGAAACTTCAGGCTCACCGGATTCAATATACCGCCAGTCGGGGCTTCCCTTAAAGCAACGCTACCGAGCTGCTGCACTGGGCTGCTTTGTCTGCTTTAATTCCGATTTGTCTGGATGTTGTCTTTGACGCTCCGCTTGCTGCGCCTCGGGCCTGTGCAATGGTTTATTATTGTGGCGTCAGCTCTTTGAAGTGCTTTGGCCAGCATAAATTTTGATTGCAAAGGGCCGACGGCCAACGGCATGACATTTATTACTGCCTGGCTGGGGCAGAACTTGAAGCTGTTGCAACAGTGCGGCTGGAGTGTTGTCTTGTGCTGTGCTGTGCTGTGCTGTGTTGTGGTGGGTGCTGCATAGGATCAGCCGCTTGGCAGTTCGATTATGAAACTGTGTACGTATAATTGCGATTGCAGGTCCAACAACAGAAACTCGACTTAAAGTCTCCAGCCATGACCCAAAAGGATTCGACTCTCTGCACACATCTGAACAGCAGAAAACAAAAAAAAAAGAGAAAAGAAAGACAAGTTCTACGGCAAACTGGAAGTTTTCATTGCATTAGCCTGGTCGGGGCAAAGTTGAAATGTCAACGCAAAGTCACAGTCACACAGATACAGACACACACACAAACACCAGGGCAGAGATTCATCGAGAAATATGCTAGCTGCGCACTCTTCCCCCCAGAGAGCACCCCACTGACCATCCAGAGTCGAAAAATTGTTGAAATGCGACCCAATTTTGTCGTATCGCAACATGGCAGAGTTCGACACATTTCCGCACATAGACAAAGAAGGTGCTGCAGCGGGAGGGTGCAGGGGGAGGAGGGTACAGCTGGCTGACATTTTGTCGAGCTATGCATTTCGGACATGTGCATGTCAGTGCTTGCTCCTCCAACCAGCTGGTGGCCCAGTTAAGCCATCCATCCAGCCATCTAGTTATCCAGACACCCAGCGCTCACCGTCAGTTCAATTTATGTCACACGGGCACACACCTCCCACACACCCTACACACATTCGTGTTTGCACTTACTAATTAACAAACGTTTGGTCTAATTTTGAGTCTTGGCCATTTTTCGGCGGTCAGGCGACTAATTATGCTGCGACTAACGTAATCAAGTGACATGACAGGTCAGTTCATCAGCGGAGGGGTGAATCGTTTTATTTAATTTGCGACTCCATGTGTAAATATGTAGTACTCAACAATTGAAAAGGTAAACGCGGAATAAATAAAACACCAACAACAACAAAAAATACGAAACCCACTAAAATGATTTTATTTAATTGCAATGCCACAATTCGTTGATTTTATGGCTGTTTAAAGGGCTTTTCCCCCCCATCGTTTCCCCCCGGCTATGCGGGGTGTACTGATTTACATTTCAAAATTTATTAACAAGCTTTCCAACAAAAGAGTTTTCCGCATTACAATGCATCGAGTAAATGTAATTTGAAATTATTTCAATGGCCAATGGGAAACTCTGTGGTCATGCCAAAAAATGGTGGCAAAAAAAAAAATTCAAATAATTGAAGCGTTTAAACGCACATCAGTATAAATTATGCACATTTAGGGTAATGAATATTTTGCAGTCGAACGCCAGACAGGCCCAACAAAAATATTAAATTAAAGCATTCACTAATGAGTGCAAAAAATGTTCATTTGTGGGCGAGACATTGACCTCTTCTTTTGTCTGGTTTGGGGCTCTTTTCAGGCCATTTCTGCTTAGCTTTTTGCATACAGTTTATCAGCTCTTAATGTGTATTGGCAATAATTAATCAGTTCCTTGAATAGGTAATTAGCAAAGTGTGTATTAATGCGCCACTGCCAACATTTAGCAATATATCAATGCGGATTATGCTGTACGGGATAATTCCAATAACAAATCGCATAAGCGGAACCCGTTGCGAATAATAGTTAGACGAGCATCGGCCCAGAAAACCTGAAAATGTGTATGTGCAACAACCAGAGCCGAAAAACCTCAAAAAGCAATTAGCAAATAAAGCAGAGGCAGGCCTTCTCGTTTGGCACAGCGTGAGCCGAAAACAAATAAGCAACGAAAACCCAAAATAACACAAAACAAAACAAAGCAAAATCAAAAACACGAATAAAAAAATTCCAACAACAGAAACAAAGGCAACTTGGAGTCAAATACAAAATGAAAGGACATTAAACATGAACGGGCATTGGTGGGACAAAGTAAACGGCAGGATTAAAACGGCTCTTTCACTCGCTTTGTGTCACCCTCTGGATGTGTGTGTGTGTGTGTGTACGAAGAACATTTCCATGACCACACAGACAGACACAGATGCAGACACAATTGTGTGCGGGCAGACAGAGCTCTGCAGAGTGAGGACATGCCACCGAACGCCCCCAATCGGATTCAGCCTCAATGCCGCCACTTAAGCAGCGCTACGTGAGCAAGGAGACACACACGCAAATAACTGCGGGGGCAGCTTTTAATTATCTCGTTATTTTTTAATTTCCAGCATTTCACTGATTTCATTTCGAGCACATTGAGCGCGCCAGGCGGTCGCCCCCCGAGATGAGGCCGCTTCCGTCGCTTCCTTACACTACGCTCCGCTGAGTATGCAGCAGCGAAGGAGGAGGAGGACCTTGAGATGCACCTAATTCGCAGGTCGCTTAATTCGGCTCAGGCTCAGGCTGTTGTCTTTGGTGGTCCGGATCCGGAACTGGCCAGGGGACAGGTATAATTTGTTAACGCTCTAATGGCCCGGCCACTTTGAATGGCTTTTAAAGCCCCACAAAGGCGAGGCACAGTGTAAAGTGAGCTGAAAAACAATTAAGGCAGCTGGCTGCCCGCTGCCCCGCATGCCCCCGCCGACCTGTCGACCCATCAACCCTCTACATTAACATCAAATTAGTTTGTGGATTAACACGTTTTTCACATGCCGGTGGCCCACCAAGGTATGGGACCCTGTGGAGTGTGTGTGTGTGGATGTCCCAAGCAAGTCAGGAGCCCAAGCTTCATTACGCATACGAGACGATGGCGGTGACTGGAGTGGGAACTTAGCTCTTTAGTTTGGCGCCATACACCAGCCCCATTCCCGTCCCTGTCCCGTGTGCAGTGAAGCATGTGAAAGGCTTACATATACTAATTATACTCCTGGCTTGCTCTTATTTTCGGGGGGAATAGTTAAAAATACTTTAAGGTTTATTATTAACAAGTGCAACAACTATATTAGAGTTTGTCCCTTCCGTCGCATACTTCTTATTGGCGATTGAACAGTAGACGAGGAGTGGAGTGGTTTCAGAGCTGGCAACGTAGCGAGGATATTTAAATAAAGTTTTTTGTTCGACCTGACAAAGTTTGCTGCTACAAAATAGGCTTCATTGCTCTTTTGTCATGCCCGGCTGGCTGGCAGCATACATATCTTGGAGCTAAAATCAGTGCCACAATGAGCATATTGTATGGCTAAAAAATTTAATGCTTACGTGCCTGAAATATCCATCGAGGCACAAAGGAAGCGATTGCAATATATGGATTGCAGATGGGCTGGAGCCTGTGAGGCGCATCGCATCGAATCGAATCGCATCGCATCGACTACTCTGCCGGCAAAGTTCATAAATAAAGCGTCCGAAAACCTCGGCTTGGCTTGGTTTAAAATAAAAGTTTCTTGCGAAAATGCTGCACTATAAAGAAAATCGTTTACTGATTTACTCGCTCTGGTCTTCTGTGGAGCGTGGGGCGCTCCAACTAATAAAAGTTTTCGCTGTTCGACGGCGATGGCGTTGATGTTGGTGTGCCACACCCATACACCCGATTCGATTGCTGGCCAGCGGTTGAAATGTTTGCTGTTGTGGCTTTTCAGCAATTGCAACGCACGTCCAGGGGGGTTGGGGGCAAAAAACAGAACTTAATCCGCCCGGCACTTTAATAATGAGATTTATATTGAAGAGAAATTTATTGCTTCTATGGGAGTCATTAAATGGACTAAGAAATGTTTCCACTACCAGAGAGTTTATTCAAAGATGGGAATCTTTTTGAAATGTATTCTTAACAAGATAACGCTGAGGAAATATATAGAAAAAAGGTTGAGCTGAATCTGGCAATCTGTGGCATTTAAACTATCCATGCAATGGTTTCGTGCGAAGCCAATGATGGAGTTTTTTTTTTTTTTAAATTAATAACAGCTTCCACACAAAAAATATATATCATGCGCCATCTAGCGGCATAAAATGCAGGCTGCACTGCTTGGATAATTATATCTGTAGTGATGCCATACTGTGTAAGAACGTACGCTTTGCAAGCAGTTCACGTCGAATAAGCAAGCAGTGTTTAAAAGCCGATGACCGTTCAAGTTCAAATATTTATTTGCTAAGTGCGCCTACAAATTTTGTTTACTTTAAGCAGACCTTAAATAGAAATTTTTAAATAAGAAAACTTCCTTTTTTTGACTTTAAATATTTATTTGCTGTATTTTTATTACACTAATACATACCTATAAATAGTCAATACGGTTAGACTTTTTATTTCCATTAAGGATCTGACCAGGATATGTTACAAAACTTACTCAAATCGGGTCATAAGCTAAGTCTGGTCAAAAAATAAACTTTAAAGGGTCATCGGCTGTAAGGCAGAATGTCACCATTCCGAATTTTAATTTCAATTTTAAAATTACTTGTGGTCAAAGGGATAAAAAAACAACAGCTTACTTGGCATCACATTATAGCTTTGAATGACGATTGCAATCATTACCCTTTACCTGTGCTGTGAGTTCCTATGCAAGGGGTGAAGTAAGTTCACACGCGCGCGTAGTCCCCAGGCAATAGGAAATCAAAACAATAACTCATGATTTGGAACAACAGAAAAAGTAACTCCTTTCATATGTAGTTGATGTAGAACCGTTTGTGCTGTTTGCATTTCCTGTTTGTTCTCCATACCAATCCCAATTCGACGAGTACCTCATGCTGCTTCATGCTACGGCTGTACCAAAAAGAAACGCAATTAAACTGGATAAGTTACATCCAGCGAACAACTGCTGTGAAAAGCACTCAAGAAAGTGGTTGACCACTTTTTGAGCGGAAGTGACATTTTGCCATTGCTGTGCCTGCTGGCGAGTGCGTATATTCAATTATGTGGATTTGCTGTGGAGATAAATTGATTAATTTGCTCGCACAAAGGCCCAGCGACAGTCTTTGTATAAATACAACAAGAACTCTTCCATCCGACAGCAGTTATTCTAGAACCAGTTTCCAGCAAACAAACGTGTTGCCAAGCCGACACTTTTTTGACCAGACATCGGTGCAGACATCGCCACATCGCCACAGTCGCAGAGCCCACACCTCGCCGCCAAACAATCAACTACCGGTAAGTGTCGAGTACCGTTCATACGTCATTATCAAATCACTCAGCCAAAATCATATGTTAAAACCCGACTCAAGTGTCACGCCCACAAACCGGCTGTGACGTATTCGCGGCATAAATCGCCTCGGGCTTATTACTCATTCGCTGGCGCGTGTTGCCCACTAGTTAGGAAACAAACAAACAATTTGTGTCGCATTAAATTAGCATAACTAAAACTTTTCCCACGATATCGCGTTGATTAGTTTATATATATTTTTGTTGTTGTTGTTGTCGTTTAGTCTCCGCATTCTGGTTCGCTTTGATGGCATCAATTTAAATCGTTTAAAGAAAAGGCAGACGCCCAAAACCAGTTGCAGTAGCGGCGCCTCAGCAGCGTGTCCGGTTGGAGGCAGATCCGTGTAGGACAAAAGAATGAATACTCATTATATCGGAGCGTAACTTATTGTTATAGCCAGGCCCACCCAACTCCGTTCTACGCTCCACAGTTTTACAATATTTTTAATGCATTTACAGCGCCATTAATTAATGAGCGATCGGATCGGAGCGGATCGGGTCGGCAGACCCGGCGCTTGCCATTCGCATACGATTTGCATTAATTAGCGCTACAGTTCGGCTGTGCTGTGTCCGTTTGCGTTGACACTTCCTGCTGCTGCTGCCACTGCTGCTGCTGTAGCTTTCCGAGAAGTTTTCCAAAAGCTCTTTAGGTTCTACTTTCTTTTTGCGAACTTCGGTGACTTTTTTGCTGTGCTCTTGAAAGTGGGGGAAATTTTTGTCGTCAGCTATAATTAGCATACACAAGATGGCAGATCTGTAAACTAATTTATGCAGGAGACGACACACCAATATTTAATTGCCTCACAAAACATTTAGGTGGCGTCTCCTTTGAAGCGTTATCAGTGGCGTTCCCCATAAATTCCATAAATTCCATTCATTCCATGTGCCAAACATCGATTTAGCTGCCATTAAATCGGTTCACCTGATAGTTATGCAAAATTAAATAGCAGCAAAACAAATCTCTGAATAGGAACATTTGTGTTTGCCTATCGCTGGGTACAAATCGAAATTTGCATACGCTCAGCAACTATAATGGCAGCTTTATTGAATTTGTATTGATTTCGATTCGTTCAAAGATCTGACGTAGCTTAGCGCCACTTGGGCTGGGACTGGCTGGGTCGCTGGCGTGTCTCTGTCTGTGTCCGTCGGTGGTCCGACGACTTCGCTTCTCGCTTCTGCGCTTTCAGAGACCGGCTTCAGCAATAGTTGTTGCTTTTGTTGTTTCTGTTCAGACTTCTTTACGTTATTAAGCTTTCGCATCTGCGTTTGGCCGGGCATATGTATATAAAATAAGAAGACAAACGAGCGATAATAATTATTTCAACTCCGCTCTAGACCAGCCAAGTCGCAAGCCAGCTAGCTCCCGGCCATATCCGACAAATCAACACACAAAGTTATTGTCACTATCAACACACAGAATCAACCATCATGAATGCCAAGCCCTTAGTACTGTGCACCGTTGTGTTGGTTGCCCTTTGCCTGCTGCAATTCGGCGATGCCCTGCCCTCCATCGGCCACTATGGCAAGCGTTTTGGTAAGTCTGCAGCAGCTCGAGTCCTCCCCCATGGCGCATTCAATTTCAATTTTAATTGCTTACTTGCAGATGCGATGGGCGGCATTGATTTCATTCAGGTATGTCTCAATAAATCAGCTCGAACCGATCGATGATATATGACCAATTAACACATTCCCAACTCCTTCTGCCACAGGTGTGTCTCAACAACTGCGTCCAGTGCAAGACCATGCTGGGCGACTACTTCCAGGGCCAGACCTGTGCGCTCTCCTGCCTCAAGTTCAAAGGCAAAGCCATACCCGACTGTGAGGACATCGCCTCTATAGCTCCGTTCCTCAATGCACTCGAGTAGAGCCGCAGCGCCGTCCGTCTCTTGGCCCATGGGCTGCTTTTGTGTGTGTGTATGTGTGTTTTTATGGCCAGTTGACTCAGATGCCGATTTGGGTCAATGCGCTGCTCCACACGAAGCGATCATGGCTGCTGATTACGACTTAACCACAACGATTATGAAACTGACTTCTGCTAAACCACTGAACTTCCAGCACGTAACCAAAGAGTTCCTATTAATTTATAATGTTATCGTAAATAAACTAATTATGTGTTGACACATAGGAAGGATTTGTTTTCTATATATTTGCCGTAAATGCGATTTCAGCGGGATTTCAGAGGGATAATATATATATTTTCCCTACTCCAATAATAAACATATCGTTCCTACTTTTAAATTCTTCGTGGTTCCTTGGAGATACCTTATGGAAATTAAAAAAAAATCAAATGAAAAGATTTCGAAACGCAAGCCAAGACTTCCAGCTTTCACGACAATTAATTATGGCAAAAGAATAAATTCTTGAGCCTAAACCTTTGAAATCAATACAAAAACTCTTTATAATTTTTTTATTTTATTTAAAAAATAGTTGCATATACAAAAACTTACATCAAAATAATAATTTTATAATTATTAAAGGTTTCTTGTTCGGTTTTCCGGTCTTCAATATCATTTAACTTAAGCGCTCTATTTCTGCTATTTAATAATAATATATACAAAAAATGTATGGAAATGCTGGAAAGAACTCTGAACTGAAGAAAATGGCAGTGTCAAACTACTGACTGGCTATATAGAAATGCTGAGTGGAGGGGCGAATGGTGAGCATAGTGAGACTAGTAAAGAGACTAAGCAGCAGTGGGAAAGATGTGAAATGCAGAACTGCAGAGGAGGCGAAAGGACAGTGTATGGAGAGGCCAAAAAATTAATCCAGATTGTTGAACAAACACACAAATGGCATTTACTTCCTAAAGTTGAGTAGCGTATCGGGTATTTCATTTATGTAATTCTGAAAAGTACACAATTTATATAAGTAACTCAATCATTTTAAATCACTTCTGATAACTTACATAGAGAGAGGGATCCACGCCATGATTGCCAAAGTCGGCCCATTTCGAAAGATCAATTGATGGTATAATGCCGCTCTTGCAGGGCACTCGAGGGTTTCTACAAACAAAAATTAAATATATTTAAATCAATATATATTTGCTCAAAATATGCCGAACGGATTTACTTACATTTCGTGATCGGGCAATACCATGGGATAGATTTGCACGGTGTCTATCAAGTCGGTGTTGTCGCAGATCAAGCGGGAAAGCTTCGCCTTGCGTATCTCCTGCAGCTGTTCGGGGGTGAAGGAGGAGGGCTGGTTGGGCAGCTCGTACCAGAAGCGGTCGCCGCGGCGCAGATAACTCATCTGGGTGGCAATGACACAGGCAAAGGTCGGTCCCAGCATCGAGCCAGGCAGCGACTTCTCCGAGACTCCACCCGACCACAGATCAATGTCAGACGGATGACTGCAAGTTAAGTAAATAGTAAGTAATAATAGTAATAGTGAATTTCAAGGGAAACCCACTCGAATATGCTGCCATAACGCAAAACAGTCTCATTGGGCATGGAGCCGTACATCTCGTCCCAGGTGTTGGAGGTGGGCAGACCGCAGAACTTGCGGAACTCCATGTAGCCGGGAATGCCGAACTCGCGGCCGCGCTGCATGTTGAACGAGACCAGATCCATGCCGAAGCGGGCGCCCTCCTTCTTGAACAGATGATTGGTCACCTCCTGGGTGATGGAGTCGTCCATGGCCTGGGCCACTTGGTTCATCAGACCCATGAAGTACTCATCGAGAACTCCAGCCCGGTACAGATCGTAGGGACGCCGAATCAAGTCCGACAAACGCTTCGAGGCAATGAACTTGTGGGCCTTCGACCAGCGTTCCACGGCGGTGGGCAGCAGCGAGTGCCCGAAGCGGAAGGCGGCACCAGCAAACGAATCAATGATGCCCGGATTCACGGCCGAGTCGTAGCCATCCCAGTAGCCGTCCTTCTGCAGCACCAGGCCGAACTTCTCCATCACCTCCTTGCCCAGGAGAATGGGCAGGAACTCGTTGTAGGTCACGTGCTGCACGATGGCAATGTTGATGCGTCGCGCCTCCTGGAAGAGGGTCTCGTCGTCCCAGTGTTTGTTGATCTGCGCCATGCCCGTGGCCAGGCGATTGTGCTCGCGCGCCATCAGCGTGTGCATGCAGGTCAGCACCAGCTGCTCATTCACACGAATCTCGCCGCCCTCGAAGCAGTACATGCTCTTGTTGGGTCGCGTGCAGCCCTCGTCGGGTATGTCCAGCTTGAGGGGCAGCAGGTCCTTCAGGCCGTACTCCTGGAACACGGGATTCATGCGCATCAGTCCGCCGTAGCCAGTGCGAAGTTTGCGGGCAAAAGCTTCCTTCACTCCGTACACAGTGTTCGCATCGATGACGCCAGTCAGAGTGTTGAACTGTTGCCGGGATCCTGCAGTAGAGTAGGAGTAGGCGGGGAGAGTTAGGCGGGCGAGGCCCCCATAGGAAAAGGTCGAATCGAATGAAACTTACCCAGTCGGCAGCCGGGTCGGGGCGATGGGAAGCCGCGCACGAAATCGATGCACTTGACATTAAAGAGCCGATAGAAGTAGTCATCATCTGGGATGCGGATCTCGTTGCAGTAGGGGTGCTTCAGATGCATCGGACGCTTGCAACACTCCTCGGGATCGTTGCGGTTGATGGGATCTGTGGGGCATTCATGATTGCATTTACATTGCAGCTGCCTATCGTAATGAATCTGAAGACCTACCCAGCGGAGTGCCCGTCAGCGTGAAATCGTGATCCATGAACTGACCCCAGGCAATGACCATTACAGTGCCCGCGTGATCGTGATAACCATCGTCGGGATGCATGGTGCGTGAGACGACGCGCGAGAAGGGCAGGTCCCGGCCAGTAACCGATATCCGTGGCGCGTTGATGCCATCCGCATAGAGGGGGCCAATCAGCCGCTGGAAGGGCGCATTTGTCGCTCCCCACGTGGGATGCTCAATGTTGTTGCACAGCCCATCGAAGCGGCGGTACTTTCCGGGTCGGCACTCGACGCCCGCAAAGAAGGGCGGACACACCTCCCGTATCATCGTCTTCGATGTGTCAATCGTGGGCAGACCCTTCTCAATCTCCTCATACGACAGTCCATAGCTGCAACCGAAAGTAAACGGAATTGAGTCGCCAGTCGGTGCGAGATTAATTGCATCTGAATGCGGCTCACGTTCACGCAACTGCGGATATCGCTAAACTTGGCTCTTTCCTGTGCCTCACTGGACCTGGCCTGGCCTGGCCTGTCCGATTCTCTACGCTACGCGAAATGTTTATTGGAAAATTGCAAAATTAACGTATTAGCCCAGTTAGCAAACGGCGTGTAATTAACGCGCTTTTGGTCTGGCTAACACTGACAGATATTGATGTTGATGTCTGACGTTTGACAGTGGCAAATTTTTTTCGTTTGTTTTGCTTTCAATTGGTCGCGGCCTTTTTTCCAACCGATTTTGGCTCTAGAGTTTTATGCTGACAAACTTGTATTTATGGGCAATTAAAAGCTCCAGAAAAAGGGGAGAAAACAGCCGTCACTGGCCGGCACACACATAAATATCCAAAGGGACCGCCACAACACCGTCGAGACTCTTCCTCAAGTGCATGAGAAAGTGAGAAAAGCCAAAGGGAAATTGTTTCTGGCCTTTCTGGCTATTGTGTGATGTGATGTGATGTGATGCGATAGTGAGATGGGAAGTGAAGTGAAAAGCTGTAAAACTTCACAGCCAATTGAGTCTGTAAGCGAGTCTGCAATTTAGTTGGTACCCGTGGCATAGGGTCGTGCAACCCGCGAACAAAACAAGGCAAACAGATCTCTTGCACGGCAACAAATCAATCCTCCATCATTGATTTACATTACATTGTATATCTTGATTTGCATCCCATCCTGTTTACAGCCGACTCTTTGTTTTATAGAATGCCCATAAACAAAACAGGCAACAGGCAGCAGGCAGCAGCCGCCTTTTTGCCGTTTACAACATGTTATTAGCCACAATCAAAAGATTATACAACGGCAATTGAACCAGTCGCAGCTGCAGTCAGCATCAGCTGGAGCTGGAGATGAAGATGCGGCAGGCGACCCAAGTCAGCCATAGATGCGATGAGTGAAAGTCAAACACATTGCGCTGTGGGCAGAGGTGGACCAACTCTGGCCGCCAACTGTGGCCAACTGACTTGGCAACCCGCTTACCCAGATTCCGCCGCCACTCCACTCCACTCCACTCCAACCCACTCCAATGCAATGCAATAGCCAATCGTTGGCCAACCTAAGAGCGCTGAAAGAAAGGATTTGGCATCGAATTTGTAGATACCTTTGCGGAAAGACCATTGCTGAATGATGTTGTTGGGTTTTCTTTGGCTTAGACAAATATCCTGCGTGAAGCACAGTCTGTGAAAAGTTCTGTGGTCGGAAATTCCTCCTTCTGCCTTTGATTCCACAAACACAATATACCCAAATACTCCGCGACTACGGGGTATAAAAAGGAGAAATAAAACTGGAAATGTTGTGTGGCATCTTCCGCAGCTTCTGGGTGCTCTGGAGGGGGGGCGCTGAGAGCGGGCTGGATCCGAGTATCGGGGAAGATAGTCACGCGCACTCTCACTGGGGCTGTCTGGCACCAGCGGCTTGTTGCATAATCCGCATTTGTTTTCATCTGCTGCAAGCTCAGCGAATAGCTGCAAATATTTTTGTATGGCAAAAATGCGGTTGCGCCAGTGGGGGGGAGGGGAGGGGAAGCGGAAAGTAGTGGCATGGAAGAAGGCCTCGTGAGCACCTCAAGTGCCTGTGCACCAGTCACTGGCCATCAGTCAGAGCCGCGCACGGAGCAAACGGAGTTTTCGGCATTGCAATTAGCATTTGCATGTGCCAGACTTTCAAAAAAACAAAAACGAAAACCAAACTCCATATACATATCCCGCAGATGCTTTTATGTTCCGATTTTGGCGCAGCACAGAACCTTGAAGGCTGGCAAGACATGACAAGACAAGACAAGACAGGCCGAGCCGAGCCGAATCTCATACATATGCGATCACTGCAGGCGGTCTTAGCCGTGTTGCACGACTTAACTGCCTTGTCATGCGTTATTTGGCAACGGTTATTCGGTTATTAGTGCCGAGGGAGCTGGGTGGGCGTGCCAGGGCAACTTTCAAATGCGTTTAGCGTGGATTACTTACGTGCGGGCCAACTGAATCGAAATGTCGAGCAGCAGCTCGCCCACGGTGGCCAGCTCCTCCGGCTTCCAGTCCGACTTGGGTTGTGCCACATCTGCAACGCACACGAGACATTTTATTATCAGCTTAGTAAACTTTTTATACAGAGTCCTCCCTCCCACTTACGTATACGCTTCCGTGCATCCAAGTAGGCCGCGTTAATGGCATCGTAGGTGATGCAAGTGCCGGGTCCATTGTTGTAGGGGTTCCTGCAAAGAGCCACAATAAATTGATGTGAAAGTAATTCCAATTTGTCCCTTATCACATGCTACCACAAGCCCAGCGCCTCCGCAGCTGCTGGCGGGCTGCGCACTGGCGGATAATCAGATTATTGCCAGGCGAATGCATCCAGCCATGGGGTCATGGGGCCTTGAGGCGCGCAGCGCTCGACTCCTGGCCACAGTGCGGAACGTGACTTGGTCGTGGCAACACCAGCGGCATGGATCTGAAGCAGGCACAGAGCAGGCTCAGCCAAATACTGAAAGCCCACAAGCCAAACTATCTGGCTGGGCATATTGAGGACTTGCTGCTCAGCGCAGGCCAAACCTCGAAATTAAGTCCAAAGTTGGCCAAATGGCTTAAATGGTTGCTGGTTATCATAGTGCTGCTGGCCAGCTTGAAGTACTATCACGAGGAGCTACAGGGACAGGTGAGGGACCGATCTGCGATCCGAATTTTGTTTCATTCTCTCTCTCTCTCCTTTCGCACGTAGAACTGTGCCCTTTCCTTGCCGCGTGCCTTGCGGTATGCTCTTCGCCCACCCGAGAGTTGTGAGTTCTGTGTGAACATCCAAAATGTGCCACGCCTCCAGGAGATCAGTCCCAAGGAGTTTGAGAGAAAATATGCATACAGCGGGGCGCCAGTAATTGTCGGCGATGCCACACAAAATTGGACAGCAACGTCGGTGGGTAGTGCGCTGAGTGCCGTTGAAGATCTCGAGAGTTAAAGCAATCTTTTTTTGGAGCAGCTCTTCAACTACTGGTACTTTCGCGATGTGTATGGCAGGGCGATGCGAAAGCAACGCATAAGGGACTGCCAGTTTCTGCCCTACAAGACCGGATTCCAGGACATCTACGAGGCCTTGGAAATGCCAGAGGAGCGGGTGGCACTGCAGGAGGGTGAGCAGCCGTGGTACTTTGGCTGGAGCAATTGCCATGCGGAAACGGCCGAGGAGTTTCGCAGGCACTACGGCCGACCCTACTTCCTGCCCGAAAGCTCCGAGAATAATGCAGTTGATTGGTTCTTCATTGGCACCTCCGGCCTGGGGGCACAAATGCATGTGCGTATGCGTCAGGGGTGGGAATCGACTTATTGATTGATTGAATCTCTTCCCCATTCAGATTGACAATGTGCGACTGCCCTCGTGGCAGGCACAGCTGGCAGGGAGCAAGCGCTGGCTGCTGGTGCCCCCACCCGAGTGCTATTTCCAGTGCCGCAGCTTCGATGTGGTGGTGCGGCAGGGCGACATTAGTGGGTACAAATTGGACTATGCATATGGGCCGATTGCTAATCGATACTCTTACAGTTGTCTTGGACACCAACAAATGGTACCACCAGACCTTTGTCCAGCCGGGAGCTATCAGCCTGACCATCGGTGCTGAATATGACTAGACACGACCGGCTCGTGGTGGATTTTCCGCGCAACAGGAAACGGCAGCCTCGACATCTCCATCGCGGAGGCTGTGGCCAAAACAAAACACGGACAACTCTGGCTTTAGCTGTAACTGCAAATGTAACTGTAACTGTTACAGTAACAAACTTAACTTTAACATTGCATATTTTTCTCTATGTTTGCCAGCCGGTTTGTTAATTAAATGCCAAAAACACGCAAATTTCTTATGTTGGGCAGCTGCCCGAGAAAATCTCCCCTTAAATGGGGGGCAGCCACTTCCTCGAATGGTGCGACATGTAAAACGCGTGTCAGGCGACACCGATGCGTGTTAACAATGCGTAAGTATTAAGTAATTACAGCAACAACTGTAGAAGCAACAGCAGCAGCAACGAACAAAAAACGAACAAAAAAATGTTCAACAAATAGCAGAGACACAGCCAGAGACAGAGCCAGACAGACACACGACCAATACACGCAATGCAAAACCATTTCAGCTAAAAGCAACATTTTTCACGAACTTGCAGCCATTAAATGCGTACGTACCCGTTAATGGAGCATACCCACCAAGGCATCATGTTTGCAGGCGCATGCAGACAGATTTTATTCAATCGGATGCTCCTTTTGGATGCTGTCGGGTGTCCCAGCCTGACATTCCCCAACAAATTCCAACAAGCAATATCCAGTGGTGCAGAATAACGTGGGTCTACCCTTTGTTCGCTACTTGCACTGCCCACTGTAGATAAGCATTGTTAACCGTCCCCCCGTTTTCGTCTTTCTTTCGTCTTTCTTCGTTTCGTTTCTACATTTTCGTATAGCGTCGAGCTGTGCTCTCGCGCTCCATCTCTTTATCCCGAGCTGTTCTAACGCTCTCCTTCCATCGCTTTCTTTCGTTCTCTCTCTTGCTTGCATTAGGGCACGGGCGATTCCTTCCGCCTGCCCTTAGTCTAGAGTCTAGACTCAAGAGCTTATCACCATAGCCATCGGAATCGCTTTTTATTTTATCGGTCATAATATCATATCGGCCTACCTCTACCTTCCCCTTCCGAATAAGAATTCGTATTCTTTATAAACAAATTCAAGAGTTATTAAAAACGGCTAATAGCTTTACAGATACAAATACTGATATACTGTACTTATTGTACTATTTAATATACGTACTACTCATACTCTTTTCCAAACATAAACTTGCTGCAAGTTCCGACATTTCTATAGTGCTTTTTAGATTTATTTTTCTAAATGGCAATATTTATTGTTAGTGCATTGCAACGTCGCCATGGCCAGGCAACAATTTCCACGCATTTTTCTTAGGCAAATTTGTCAAATTGAAATCGAAAATGGCAATGTCTGGCACTTAACTGGTCTGCCAGTTAATTTTGCAAAAGCAGCAAAAAATCAAAAGAAAAATACCTTAGTTAAGCAAAATTTACTGCGCCCGGTAAGTTCAATGTGCGCATAGCCGGAGAGTTTTGGGCCAACTAGAAAGTTGCTTGCATTCGGCACGCACTGCGCACTGCCACAGTCCCGTCTCTGTGCTCGGACCTGGAGCTGGACCTGGACCTGGACCTGTACCAGTACTTGTTATCCTGATTGTGTGTTTGCTGCAAAGTAAAAACTAATGTTACGAATTTTGGGCCGGGGATCGTGAATTCAATATGCGCTCGCAGGTGCGCGACCAACACTTCCTGATCGAAGCGAAGCGAAGCGAAACCGTATTGAGTTGCATGCGTCTGCATGCGGCGGCGTATGCGTAATATTGTGAATAATTGCAAAAGCGTGTCGTAAACGCGCTGGCAAAATATTCAAATATCATTTATCTATGCGAGAGCGGGTCTGTTTCTCCTTTTCTCAACATTTCGGGGGCCGCCCCATGGCATAACCATGGAGGCGACCATCGTGTCTCTAAGGGGCTACTTCGCTTACGCAGATGCAGACGGAGACACGACGATGGAGAGAGATGCAGTTACAGTTGCAGATGCAGACTCAGATACTGATACAAATACAGTTACAGTTACAGACTTGTGGTAGACAGACAAAACAGTTTTTGCAGAGGCCGCAATGAAAGTGGCCGTGCAAAACCTGTATTTAAGTTTAAGTAGGTTGCTGCCGCCAATTGTTGGCTGCATTTTTTTGCCAAGCTGACCGCAACGCAGCCAGGTTCAACATCCAAGCCAAAGTCAGCTTTAACGATCTCGCAGACTCACGTTTTGATGCCCGTCGACCCCAAATTAGCTCCAATTCCGAATGACCCCCGCACACAGATGCAGCGTCGAACCATTTTGTGCGGCTCAATCTCAATCTGGATCGTGTGACATTTAAAATATAGATATTCAGTAGATATCTGCTGGCGGCCAAGTGCCATAAGTGCTGGCTGAAGTTCACGTCGGTAGGCATTGTGTCTTGGCAGTATTTCAAAGTCACTTTTCGAAATCATTTCAAGACAAACGTTTGTCTGCCTGCCCCACGGCAACACAGGTGGGTTTATTTTTCCGTTTTTCCGTTTTTCCTTCAACATCTGCAAGTGTTGCAATGCCATTTGTTTGGATGCTGGTTTGCTGTTTTGCTGTTTATGTTTGCGGCTTTTTGTCGTGCGGTTTGCTTCTTTTTTTTGTTGTTTCCTTTACTAATAAGTCGCTTTGGTCTGTCAGGTGACTGCATGATGCGTCTGTCTGCATCACATGTCTGCGCTGTCGTCGCTCGAGGCCTGTTCGAGGCCAAAAACCATCTGCTGCTGCTATTGCATTTAATCACCGTGCTTGTTACACCTAGGAACCCATTCTGAGCATGTGTTTTGGATTCGGTCTGTGTTTGGCACCTCTGGGAGGCGACTGACTCCCTCGCTATATAAGACCCATCCAACCATCGGCTAGACCATTAAAATGCTGTGATCCAACAGAATGAGATCGCCAGCAGTCCTGCTCTTGTTCATTGGCCTCAGCCAGGCCGAGCATAAGGCCACCGACAAAGGTCCACACACTAACTGCACCTTGGAGGAGTTGCCAGTCTGCGGCTATAAACCATATTCAGGCGGCCGTACCGTGTGCACCTTCCTCAACATGTGCTTCTTTGACGAATTTCTTTTAGCCACGAACAAAGGTGAGTTGAGCCCAAAATTATGCTTAGTCCGTATTTTAGGGGGGGAAAAAAAACTCCTCTCATTTGCAGATTGGCGCTTGGAGAGCAACGAGCCCTGCCAGTGGCCGACAAGGGACTGCTATCGAATAATGGAAGAAATAGTAACTAAAACACCAAAAATAACTACCCGAAAAATGAAGAAGCATCACAAGCAAGGAGCACACAAAAATGCAACAAAGTTCCATTCAAGGGGCCAAAAGCGTCACAGGACAACAGTCCAAGACACTCTGAAGATGCAAAGCACAAGACGAACCACCGAAGAGACGAGTACAAGACGACAGTTAGTGGAGGTCACAGAGGAGCCGAAAGTCACGAAGGATGCTAGTTGGCACTTAAATCTAAGGAACAGGAAGCACTTCCTGACAGAACCGCCCATGACCGTAATTAGGGATGGGAGGCAGTCCCATACGAGAGGCAAGACTCATCACAGGACAGAGTCCCATCCAAGAGGCAATAATCATGCCAAGAAACGAGAACAACATGATGTAAGGGAGACATTGTTTGAATAAAACCTACATGGGTTCCGGGAAATATCTCTTGATTCGCCTATAAGCTTGAATGAAGACGTTGGCTGTCATATGTGGTAACTACTCGTGTGCAGCAGCAGCAGCAGCAGCAGCAGATCCCATCACATCACTCAGCAGGCGCACTCACCATGGTACCTCCCAAGGCACTGCAACTACTCGACTCTGCCATCGGTTGTTGCGGCTGCTGTTGCTTTGCTAATGATTAGCTCAAAGCCTGTGTTAGGCCATGTTGTCGTAGGTGTAGAGCATCGACAGGTAGCAGCCCCATGTTGCCACTGCTCAAATAAGCTGCAACCGCAACAGAAACTGCCACAGCCACAGCCAGAGCCAGACCCAGAGCCAAGATTTATGGCTGTCAGTCAGGCATTTGCGCCGTTTCGGTGTCAACGTTCAAATATTTGAGTCTCAAACATAACCCAGAATGCTGCCGAGCCACTTTTTTCTGCAAAGCCACAGCACAGTTTCCCCGTTTCTATTTGTACTTACAGAGTGCCGCGGAATAGATTCACATTGTAGTCGTAGACGGAGGAGCGACCAGGTCCGGCCAGCAACAGGGCGCACTCCGATCCGTGGGCCGTCTGCAGTTGTTCGCCAAACTGATGATACTGCGCCTGCGCGCCTGCGGCCACAAGGGAGAGCAGAAGTATTCTGAAAGTAAACGAGTGGCAGAGAGGCAAATTAATACGTTAAGTGTGTGCATACTGTGTATATGTGTATGTATGCAGTGGAGGCGACACGCCTCTTTGACAAATAGAAACACGCCCGCGGCCAAGAGCATTAATCAGCCAACAGCCACAGGTCGGCAACGGCACATGTGGCAGCTGACGCGGTGTTTGTATGGCTACGTCCATAGGTATTGGTATGTCTGAGTAAATTCAAATGGGCATTGCCATTGCATTTGGACTGGGCATTGTTTTGGGCGTTTCGGTTACTGTCAGCCAAGGGGAGTGCACGGTAGGGGAACCTGACATCTGACAACCTTGCTTTTATTTTTCAATTTAATGCGCTCAGATTTATGACTCGGGGCGCGTGTTAATGCCTTGTTGGCTTTTGTCGCAGCAACAAAAACACATTTTCGGGGCAATTGTTAACGCCTTTTGATAATTATTGCTATTGATTGCTATTGTTATTTCTGCCTCTGGCGGCAGCAGCTAACAGTGAAAGTATTTTGCTTTTATTTACCACCTATTCAGTGTTTCCCCCTTCACAGCATGGAATGCCTCAAATACCCTTACAAATTTAAAGCACTTTAAATATTTAATTGCAACTTAGAGAGTAATTTCTCAGTTATTTAAATTTAATTATTTATTAGTATTATTTAATTATTTAAACTTTGAGAAGCTGAAAGCCGTTGAAACACCTGGCTGAAAAATATCAATTATATCAATTAACAAATGATTATAATTATTAATTATTCATATATTAATATTAATATATTAATATAAATATATTATAATTAATATTATTTCGAGAATTTTCAGGTTTTTTTTTCTTTCCGGCAGATGTTTATTTAATATAATAAAACGAAAATCGCTAACAGGAGTGCCACCATTTTCTACTCTGTTATATCCTCAGAAAATATATCAAGAGTAATCAATAATGGTACCATTTACCGAAGAAAGCCTTCCCATTATTTAAAGTTTAACTTACACCTTCTGAAAATTGTATAGGGCAGCAAAACTTAAACATATTTGAATAATTTTTAATGATGCTCAGTAAATATTTGTATAGTAAATTTATGCTGTACCTCATGATGCTGCTGACACTCGGTAAAGAGTGAAAGTACTTTGCTTTTCATTGAAAGAGCCACAGAAGGGCAAAGCTCCCTGGGCAGCAGGTTCGCTTATATAAGCCCGAGCAGAAACAATAACGCACTTAAGTCCTTTCACTTTTCATTTGGCACAGTTGAGGCTTTCTTTTCGAGAGACAACATAAAATGTGATACTTTGTCCGACGTGCCACAACATGGGCCCAGTATTCCATTATAGGTTGGAGGGGGTCTGAACATAGCTGGGCACCACATGGAGTAAATCTTTCATTGAATCTTTCACTTCAATGGATCTTATTGTTCGGGAACATTGCAGTATTTGCACAAATGTTTTGCGAATTAAATTGTTTTCATCTGTTCAGAACTTCTGGCGTTCTCTGCCCTATAAATAGACATCTCCAAAATTTACAATCATTCAGAACAGATTTGACAACACCATGAGATCTCTTTGCATTATTCTTCTGGTTGCCCTTAGCTGCCTGGCTCTGGCTGAGGGACAATGCCCCCAGAACTGTGGCAGGATCACTCGTCCTGTATGTGCCACTTGGACACGTCGTGGCATTAGCGACACCTGCACTTTCAAAACCCTATGCGCCCTGCGAAATCAGATTTGCCAGCGCCGTCAAGGTAAGTTAACAATATTTATTGAATTATGAAATACTATTTTTTTTTCTGGCAGATTGGATTCTAAATAGAAACTCATCATGCATTTTGGAAACAAGGAACTGCAGATCTCTACTACAGTAAAAGGATTTTAATTTGTTTTGTCCAGGCCCTAATTAAATAAACTTGCATATTAATCACATGCTCGAGCAGTAACAATAACGCACTTCAGTCCTTTCACTTCTCATTTGGTTCAGATTGATTCATTACAGATTGGAGGGGGGTCTAAAAATAGCTGGGGAGCCCATTGAGTAAATCTTTTATTGAATCTTCCACTTCAATGGATCTTATTGTTCGGGAATATTGCAGTATTTGCACAAATGTTTCGTGAATTAAATTGTTTTCATCTGCTCAGAACTTCTGGCAGGCTCTGCCCTATAAATATAGATCTCCAGAATTAACGATCATTCAGAACAGATTTGTCAACACCATGAGATCTCTTTGCATTATTCTTCTGATTGCCCTAAGCTGCCTGGCTCTGGCTGAGGGACAATGCCCTAGGAGCTGTGCCGCCATCTTTCGTCCTGTTTGTGCCTCTTGGACACGTCGTGGCATAACCGACGTCTGCACTTTCCCCAATCGATGCAGCCTGCTGAATCAGATTTGCCAGCGCAATCAGAGTAAGTAAACGATATTTATCGGATTATGAAATATTATTTTGTTTTCTTGCAGATTGGATTCAAAGGACTGAAACAAAATGCAGAGTCGAAACCAGAGACTGCATTGTTATACGCCAGTAAAGGGATTTTAATGTTATTTGCCCAAGCCCCAAGTAAATAAAATTTCATATTAATCACAAGAGCAGGAAATTAACAGAAGACTTGCACACTTTTTTACCATTGCACGGTCATAATTTCCAGTCACAGCTTACATGATTTGCAGCTCGGTGCTTTTTGGGCCTTAAGTGGCTTAAATGCTTATTAAAACTCGTGACCGGCGTGCCACTTTCATTTCATTTCATTTTGCTTTTCGCACAAAGATTAATTTGGTTCAAGGTTGCCCTTTAATGTAAATGCGAGTATTTCACACAAATCAAAATGTTATGGACCACAAAGTGCGCGGAGCGTGCAACATAGTCGCATGGGTATTTTGCTTTATGAGTGGAATGCTCACCAAATGGCACTTCGTTCATTAGCCGTCATGACAGGGCAATTAGAATGCCAACAAAACGCATTCGCCCACACAGACTAGAGTTTTGGGGTTGACACGCTGCCACGCCCAGACACTGCCACGCGTGCGCGGCTCACAAATTGGCCAAGAGACGGGGGAGGGGATGTGGTCTGTGGACTGGTCGCTGACTTAATTGACTGCCTGGACAGACGCAGAAGTCAGAGATGCAGATCAGAGTTGCGGGCCAGCAGGCCACTGCGTAAGTCAATTAATTGTTGCTCGCCTTTGGGGCGACAACTTTTGTGAAAGGCCTGCACGCAACGTCCTTCTGGCCAGCACCCGTACCAGTACCAGCAACAGCACCAGTCCCAACAATTTATTCATACTCACATGCATATAAATATATATGGTGTCTTTACACCTGCCCGCAAGAGTCAATTAATTTTGGCTCGTCGATCGGTGGCTGGCCAAACGACTTTTACATAAATTGCAGCTTTGACTTATCTAAGTCACTCCACTCGCCCAGCGGAGCCAACATTTGGATGACACACATCTGTGTGACCATAGCTGCCACCTTTCCGAGGCAACCTTTTGGGGTTGCAGCGAGTCCCATGATCAACGCCACAATCCACGAACAAAGAACGGGCGCAGTTGCCCAATTAGAGTCGCCAACTTGGGAGAAGCCCATCCAGATATATGTAGGTCCTGTACTCCAACTCCGCTAACCAGATCTGTGCATATTTTGAAGCGCATCTTAAAGTTGACATTTGCTAATAATATTTTTGTCTGCATCAACCATACGTTAATTGCCCGATCCATTGTTAGACAATGCATATGGCTGCTGGCTGCTGATGGTATCGTACTCGTACAGTTTGCTCTGATGCTGCTACTTATGTCATCTTTGCTGTAATACCTGGGACATGCCTCCAGCCCAAGCCAGAGCCAAAGCCAGAGCCAGAGCCAAAGCCCTACCCCTACCCTGCCTAGGCCCCCAGGGGCGTGCCAAGTGCATAGGACTTTTTGTTTGCCTCTTTCTTTGTTTGCGGCTGCGGCTGCTTGCCACATCGCTCGCATTGTCTGCCAGGCTTTGCATGGAAATCTGCTGCTCGGCATGTGGCTGCTGGCTTCGAGTTAGCTGAGTTGATGTTAGTTGTCATGCAAATGTGTTGAAATGACTTTGGTAACGTACTAAAGAGAAATTCATAACTTATCTGCCAGGCAGTTTTATTGATAGTGATTAAGTTGATAACTCTTTGGATTAACTATTTGAATGCATATGAAAATAATACTCAGATAGATATATTTTTTCACGGCTGCTAAATCGCATTTAGCTCGTAATTTTTTATAGCTTAGCTACGCTCATGGGAAGGCCTCCCATGTTCCTCCCATGTTCGCACCATTTCGCTCAGACTTTGGCCTGGGATCGCCTGATAGCCGAGTGAAACCTGTGATTATGCACGTAATCGTAAAAGAATTTATAATATGGATGTTATAGTATATTTTATTTTATTTTATTTGTTCAGGCTTTGTTTTGCTCTAACTCAATGGCTGAAACTCTGTCACAATCTGTTAAGTTATACTAAACGTTTCCATTCTTTTATTCTTACCCCACAACGAGCTTCACAGGTAAAGTTCTCAGCTGAGAAACACATTTAGACATTACAAACACAATAAGTATGCACTCAAGCTCCAGAACAAACGAGTTGAAATTGCCTTTGCAACTTTTGCAACTTTTGCCTTGCTCTGACCAATAAAAATCATAAGTCAAGAATATAAACTTAACTTTACGATTTGTCCTAGAAAAACAACAAACAAGGGTTTCTCGCTTAAAGTTCTTATTAAAACTAGTTTAAATTTTGAATTGAAGTTTATTTTTTTGGGTTATTTCTGAATAATTTCTTGCAGCAAGCGCACAGGTGTGAGATATGCAAAGATACATTTGCGGTAGAGCAGCAGCTCTATTTTTAACCAATGCAACGAACCCATGCCGAGTGAATCTCGTTTGTTTTGCTGATTGGTAATGCCAGCCCCATGCACTTTTAATTGTTGCACTTAGCTTTGCTCAACGCTTGGCACCGGCCAATTGCTTAATTGATTCTCAGATCTGTGAGTCTGTGTGTTGCAGGCAGGCAGCAGCTCTCATGTCTTCACATCCGTTTGGCATTTCGAATGCAGCGGCGTAAAAAGCTGAAACCAAATGAAATCAATAGAGAACACATGGCGCATACTTGATACACAGGCGGGCAGGCAGACAGGCAAGGCAAGCAGGCAGACGGCAGCAATTGCAACATGACGCACATTTATGTGGCATTACTGTCGCCTTCTTTTTTACTGGGCCATAAATTGGCAATGCAGATTTGATGGGACACAGTTATGGGCCAGATAAGCGGGCCAATACTGCCTTAATTCGGTCTCTGACCCACAAAGCCACTCACGATCGTATCGCTCTGAGGAAATCCAGTCACAAGCTGGATATACGGCATGTGAAGGGTTTTGATATATCACCAAAAAGCAGCCAACTCGGCCGACGCACGCAATCCAGATAGCCATCGGACACGGCTTACGTGCAGTTTATGGACTAGGCTCGAATAGAATGTAACCGAACTGCAGCTGTAACTGGCTAACTTGTGCAGTGTCTGGTCTGGTCTGGTCTGGTGTGCTATCGGGTGCTAAAACGCCGCCGATCTTTGCTCTGACTGATAACCGAAGCTGGCAATCTGACGGCATTTTACGCTTTTAACAGCTTATTAATTGAGCGACCGCCTCTTGCAGATTTATACCTGGCAAACTCTCGGCTAATTGCATACAAATTGCAACGGCTGGCTGGCCCCAGTAAAACAGCCCAGTCAGCCTCAATAGCTGGCAATAGATTCAATGCCAACTTATTGACCAAAATGTTCAGGCATTATGAAGTGCAGCTCAATGCAAAACTGGCTGCTGTCCAGACCTGCCATTGATTGTACATAAATCAAATGAAAAACAACTTTTGCATCTGATGTCTATTTCGAATGCCTTTTTTGCGCCTTTTCTAACAAAGTCAACCGCCTTGACTTTCTTAGCGGAGTTTGAAGTGCACTTCTATGCGATGCCTGAGCATCCTCCTCAGACAAACAATGAAAATGTAGGCGGTTGGTTATACTCGTACGGGTACGAGTACGAGCCAGAGGCAGACGCCTTTCACCAGTTCACCGAGTTCCAGATTTCCCCCTAAAAATAGCTGCAACAATTACCAAATTTTTCGTAGCCTACCTGGGCTCATGCATTCAATAGCTCGGGTATGTCTGATGATGTCTGGCAATTGGCACATCGTCTTGATCATCATCATTATCATCATCATCAATTTGAGTGCGAATGTTGCAAGCAAACACGGAGAAACACTCCACTTGGCCTGCCTACCAATGAGCCAAGTGATTATTCGGGTTCGGTTCGGTATTTTCGGTTTGTTTGAATTCGAGTGTTGTGTAGCCCCAGCATGCCAACATGCAGCACATTTGTGCGCTTTTGCTTTATTTAAATACCTTTTTTTTTTTTTGTGTGTGTTTTTCAAAACCAAATATGTTTGTATTTTATGTACTCGTAACCGGCAGTTGCATCTGTTTCTGCTCAGAGTGCTGCATCTGCCTGTGTGCTGCGCATAGTTTTGCCTCAGTTACCACATAATTTTGACGGGTGCATTTGGGTTACCTCGACTCTCACGGCCCGACTTGCAGCCGACTCGTATCTGTAACTGTTCCGAGTGGAGCTCGGCTCCAATTTGCAGCGAATTGCGTCGACAGCTTCTGCATTTCAATTAGCAGGGGTTCCACTGATAAGGCGCCAAGGGCTGCCTGCCTTGATCTAAGTCAGTTTTTCAAGCATTTCACTTTCGGTTCTCACGCTGGTAGGTGTGTCTGATACTCGTACAATTGGTATTTCATGTGGGCCACAATAAAGTTTCATTTTGTCATAGCTATTTGTAACACTTTCTCGCCCCGTGAGTCAGCTATAAACCAATGAAAGATCTCGAATCGAATTTCAAGCACCTTTCATGTTTCAGTGGCACAAACATGTGTTGAACACAGTACACGGCAGACCCTTTCGGCACTGAATCACATGAATCAGATCATTGTAATGAGAGGCCCACCCCTGGCGCCCATTCATAAGGGGCACTCTTCCGCTCATCACTCATCCACTCAATGAAGGCATCATCTTCCCATTGATGAACTCTGCTTGTTCGACTTTCTTTTGTTATAACATTAATCAGCAAGGTTCGCGAAATCAAAGCAGCTTCAGCTAATGCAAAAAAAATCTAATTAAAAAATATATATCGAAAATGGGAAACGAAACCAATTCAAAAGGTTTTGGTTGTGGGCAGGCATGACGTGAATCGGGCTTTTGAAAGTGAAATGATTTTAAGTAGTTTACGTTAATGTAGCGCATTAATGGCGCATCATCAGCATCAGCATCATCCACAGCCGAAAGAGATCTTTAAGTCAAAAGTGAATGTTGACCAACATTCACTTTAAGAAATCGAGCAGTTGCAAAATATGGGTACAAACAATACACATCCACAGCCATAGATATGGATGTGGATGTGGATGTACTACCTCCATTTATCCATCAATGTGAGGCTGAGCAATAAGTCGTTTCAATATTTCTTCTGCTGGAGGGATTGGGTCGGGGCATTGGGCATGAATTGTGTTGTGTTGTGCGAGTAATTGCGGCAAACACATCAGGCAGGCATTATGCCCAAAAAAAGAGGAAAACAACGGCAATATGCTACCACAAGTCATGGCTTTGACTGCCGTCTGGTCTGGGCTCTTGGCTGGGGTCTGGTGAACCTTGTAAGGCAGCTTATGTAACGCA